AAATAAATCTGGTATTTCGTGCACCCATGCATTATTTTCTATTTAAACTACAACTTGACTGGTTTAAATATTATCAAGTTATCAGTGGTTGTAAAAGTTGCAGATAGAAGTGTTTTGTTTTATATTATTATCAAGTTATCAGTGATCGCAAAACCTCCAAATCCTTAATTTCAAATGTTAGAATGTTAGGGTTTGTAATCCAAGTGAGAATATATACATTTTAAGACCTAACCAGGAACGACTGCGAAAAATGCAGCACAAGGTCCTCTGCTAGGAATTGAACCTACGGCCCTGCGATTCCGGTGCACTAGCGCTCTAACCAACTGAGCTACAGAGGCCAGCTGTTGAGCTTTAACCGTAAGTTCATGTATATTTAGGTACTCGGGTGTGCGGGTTATGATAAGGTGGACTTCAACAATTTGGATTCTTGCACTTAACTTGGTGGACTTAATATTAGAATGTTAGGGTTTGTAATCCAAGTGAGAATATATACATTTTAAGACCTAACCAGGAACGACTGCGAAAAATGCAGCACAAGGTCCTCTGGTAGGAATTGAACCTACGGCTCTGCGATTCCGGTGCACTAGCGCTCTAACCAACTGAGCTACAGAGACCAGCTGTTGAGCTTTAACCGTAAGTTCATGTATATTTAGGTAATTGGGTGTGCGGGTTGTGATAAGGTGGACTTCAATAATTTGGATTCTTGCACTTCACTTGTTGGAATTAATATTAGAATGTTAGGGTTTGTAATCCAAGTGAGAATATATACATTTTAAGACCTAACCAGGAACGACTGCGAAAAATGCAGCACAAGGTCCTCTGGTAGAAATTGAACCTACGGCCCTGCGATTCCGGTGCAGCGCTCTAACCAACTGAGCTACAGAGGCCAGCTGTTGAGCTTTAACCGTAAGTTCATGTATATTTAGGTAATCAGGTGTGCGGGTTGTGATAAGGTGGACTTCAATAATTTGGATTCTTGCACTTCACTTGGTGGAATTAAAATTAGAATGTTAGGGTTTGTAATCCAAGTGAGAATATATACATTTTAAGACCTAACCAGGAACGACTGCGAAAAATGCAGCATAAGGTCCTCTCACTGGTAGGAATTGAACCTACGGCCCTGCGATTCCGGTGCAGCGTTCTAACCAACTGAGCTTCAGAGGCCAGCTGTTGAGCTTTAACCGTAAGTTCGTGTATATTTAGGTAATCGGGTGTGCGGGTTGTGATAAGGTGGACTTCAATAATTTGGATTCTTGCACTTCACTTGTTGGAATTAATATTAGAAAGTTAGGGTTTGTAATCCAAGTGAGAATATATACATTTTAAGACCTAACCAGGAACGACTGCGAAAAATGCAGCATAAGGTCCTCTCACTGGTAGAAATTGAACCTACAGCCCTGCGATTCCGGTGCAGCGCTCTAACCAACTGAGCTACAGAGGCCAGCTGTTGAGCTTTAACCGTAAGTTCATGTATATTTAGGTAATCGGGTGTGCGGGTTGTGATAAGGTGGACTTCAATAATTTGGATTCTTGCACTTCACTTGTTGGAATTAATGTTAGAATGTTAGGGTTTGCAATCCAAGTGAGAAAATATACATTTTAAGACCTAACCAAGGAACGACTGCGAAAAGTGCAGCACAAGGTCCTCTGGTAGGAATTGAACCTACGGCCCTGCGATTCCGGTGCAGCGCTCTAACCAACTGAGCTACAGAGGCCCCAGCTGTTGAGTTTTAACCATAAGTTCATGTATATTAAGGTAATCGGGTGTGCGGGTTATGATAAGGTAGATTTCAATAATTTGGATTCTTGCACTTCACTTGTTGGAATTAATATTAGAATGTTAGGGTTTGTAATCCAAGTGAGAATACATACATTTTAAGACCTAACCAGGAACAACTGCGAAAAATGCAGCAAAAGGTCCTCTGGTAGGAATTGAACTTACGGCCCTGCGATTCCGGTGCAGCGCTTTAACCAGCTGAGCTACAGAGGCCAGCTGTTGAGCTGTAACCGTAAGTTCATGTATATTTAGGTAATCGGGTGTGTGGGTTGTGATAAGGTGGACTTCAATAATTTGGATTCTTGCACTTCACTTGGTGGAAAATTGGAATGTTAGGGTTTGTAATCCAAGTGAGAATATATACATTTGTATATTCTCACTTGGATTACAAACTATTCTCACTTGGATTACAAAATATATACACAAAATATATACATGTACTATACATTTGTATATTCTCACTTGGATTACAAAATATTCTCACTTGGATTACAAAATATATACATGCATATATTCTCACTTGGATTACAAACCCTAACATTCTAATATTAATTCCACAAGTGAAGTGCAAGAATCCAAATTATTAATTTCAAATGCCCCGCCGGGGCTAAGGTTTGAGTGGAAATGCCCAACCCCCGGGATGTGCTTTACAGGAAAATGGCTGGGCGAGGGGGATGGACACACTTGGATTTGGCTGATGCATTAAAAGTCCTGTGCTTATTCCAGACTGCTTGTCAAATATTTACTTGCTAGAAGTAGAAATTTACTCTGACCACTGGATGAAGAAGACATTAAATAAGTACTGGTCAATAAACAGAAATGTACGGAGCCCCATAAGGGCCATAGATTTATCTGCTGCTTTTTTTTAAATTCCGACTTTTTTTTTAATTCCGACTTTTTTTTTCGAATTCCGACTTTTTTTTTAAATTCCGACTTTTTTTTTTAATTCCGACTTTTTTTTTCGAATTCCGACTTTTTTTTAAATTCCGACTTTTTTTTTTAATTCCGACTTTTTTTTCGAATTCCGACTTTTTTTTAAATTCCGACTTTTTTGTTTTAAAATTCCGACTTTTTTTAAAATTCCAACTTTTTTTTAAATTCCGACTTTTTTTTCGAATTCCGACTTTTTTTTTAAAATTCCGACTTTTTTTTCGAATTCCGACTTTTTTTTTAAATTCCGACTTTTTTTTTAATTCCGACTTTTTTTTTCGAATTCCGACTTCTTTTTTTAAATTCCGACTTTTTTAAAATTCCGACTTTTTTTAAATTCCGACTTTTTTTTTCGAATTCCGACTTTTTTTTTTAAATTCCGACTTTTTTAAAATTCCGACTTTTTTTTCAAATTCCGACTTCTTTTAATGTCAGAATGAGGGTTATTCTTTTTCAAAATCACACCAACATGGCCGTTCGTCTCTTATGTTGTGTTTGCGTACTCTATTTAATCATTATCACGACGACATGTTTCGCCGTTACTCTTCATGAATATCTACCACTTTCGGAACTAGGTGAAGGTTCCAGAGAGAGTTATATACAAAAATACTTCAATCTTGGCTTTCCTTATGAAGAAATTTTGGTGTTTCTTTCGAAGTTTCACGGAATCATACTCAGTCTTCGCCAGTTGAAACGACTACTCAAGACAATGGGGTTGCGACGCCGAAAGGTATGCAGTTCAGTGTACGAAGTTGTGTCTGAGGTAGAAAGGGAGTTACGTGGAAGTGGTAGTTCAATCGGGTACAGAGCAATGCACAAGAGATTGACGGTGGATTACAATCTAGTTACAGACAGGGAAACAGTCCGTCAGGTCCTAAAAATTGTAGATCCTGCAGGGGTTCAAAGGCGTTCGAAACACCGATTAAAGAGACGATCGTACAAAGTGAAAGGACCCAATTATATTTGGCACGTAGATGGCTATGATAAACTCAAGCCATTTGGCTTTTGTATACACGGTGCCCTGGATGGCTACA